GTGCGTGGTGTGGAAAAGGGGCACCCTCCAGGGTCTGCCCACACCCCAAGGTCCCCCCCCAGACATCCCAGGGGCCACGAGCCCCCTTGCAACGACACTTAGAGGCCTCTTGTGTGTCCCTTTCCTCTTTTTCTTTCTTAGAAAGTCAGCAGCTCGTTCTTCCGGCCCGTGTCCCCTTGAACGCGTCTCTCGCGGCCTGTCTCCCCCTGCCGCCTCTTTCCGCCCTGGATGAATAAGTCCCAACAGAGACGATGGTGTTTCCCAGTTCTCTTCCTCCGAGACTCTTTTCCGTGCTGGGGAGGGACAGATCCCGAACGCTCGCGCCGGGTGAGGACTGACCCGATCCGGCAACTCGTTCCTGAGCGCTGTGGCGGGGAGGGATCTCGAGAGGCCCCCGGGCTCTGCCAGCTGAGCCCACCCGGGCACTTCTCAGTCCAGACCTGGCCCCGCAAAGACGAGAGCTCAACGGAGCCAGACGAAACAGCACGGCAGATGGCCACCACGACTGAGTCCACTGGAAGAAAATGAGCCACCAGGGGCTTCTTTGTTGCGACTTCTCGGAAAGAATCTTCCTCATTAAAGTGGGAAAAAAATTAAAAAAACAAAACAAAACAACCAACGAAACAGCAGCACGGGGCCGGGGCACTCATACGGCGTAGAGGACGCAGGCCTCGCACGCAGCCGGCCGGGGTTGGATCCCACCAGGAGTGATTCCTGAGCACCTCCAGGTGTGGCCCTCAAACAAACAAGCCAATCCCCACTCTGCGGTGTCCCCAAGAAGCTGTGGGGGGCTGGGCTCCTGCGTGGGCATCCCGGGGGATGGATGTGAGTGGATCCGTCAGCTTTGGGGGGGTCCTCGCAATGCGGCAGGGCAGGAGCACTGGAAGAGGAAGACTCCTCCCCGCCAGCTCCTCAGAACCAAGTGTTCCTGACCATCACGTCCTCTCTGCTGGCCTTCATTGTGGGGATGGTGCCCTGGGGATGGCTTCCTTGCTGGCTTCTGACCCCCACGTAGCTGACAGCCCCTGCCAGGCCATGGAGGAAGTGCCTGAGGCTATCTGGGGACAGACGGATATGGAGGATCGTGCTGGGACTCCAGTGCTCCCGTGGGGTAGAGGCCCCAAATAGCAGGTAGGCAGAGAGCACTGTGGGCAGGCAGGGAGCATCATAGGCGGGTCGGGAGCACAAGTGGGTGGGGATCACCATAGGAGGCGGGGCATACCACACATCAGGCTCTGGCGAAGAGGTCGTCACCTTGCCTCTTAATGACAGAGAAAGCCCCCCACTGTCTCCCCACCCCCCCAGGCTCAAAGGAACGGTGGCAGCTGGAGCTCTGGGTCCCCACGAAAAGCAAACTAGGCCTGACCATGCCCTCGGGCCCCCGGGGAGCTCCAGTGCAGGGGCCACGCCACGGGCGGGCGTGGCAGCTAAGGGGGCCGCCCAGGACAGTCCACATGGTAGCCCCGAGGTCTGGCTCAGGGGAGCCGGCCTCTTCTTGAACTTGACTTCACTCCCGTCAACCCCCGCGGCCAGACCCCCGCGGGCCTGTTCCCGGCTTGTCTGATCCCTGCAGATGGGCTCGGGGGCTGACGACGGAGCAGCTCTGCGTCATTTCTGGGGTCTCCTACAGAGCCGAGCCGTGCTGGCGGGGAGGACGGAAATGAGTCACCGCTTTGGCCGTCTGACGGGGGAGCGCAGGGAGTGAGGAGGGCGGCAAGGGCCGTCGCAGGCGGGAACCAAGCTCCTCTGCGGGAGACGCCGGTGCGGGGGATCCGCCGCCCTGATGCATCCGGTCTCCGCCAGGATACACTCGTGGGGTTCTGCACACAGCCAGCGTGCGCCGTCGACGGACGGAGGAGAGGCCGGAGCTCGGCCCCATTCGGGCAGGTAAGAGGGTTCCTGCCGTGAGGAGCTGGATCCACGCCCTGGCCTGCGACGGTGGAGAAAGGTTGTGGGACCCAACTTCTCACGTTGTGCTGTGCACGATGAAGGCGCGTCTAGCTCGGAACCTCAGGAGCGCCGGAAGAGCTCTTGGCTCTAGGCCCCATCTCGAAAGGCCCAGAAGCATCTCCACAACCTCACATGCGCAGGGGGCGGGAAGCAGAGATTTACGGGCACTCTGAGCTGTCCCCGACTGGCGCCCTGAGCCTAGACTGGAGACCACGGACCCTCACGCACCTCCTGCTGTTCAGTGGGGGAACTGGGAAAGGCACGCCGGTGTGCTGGTGAACCCAGGGAGCCTGCCTGGCGGTGGGGGCCTCATCGCTGCCACGGCCCTCCGGACCAGACCCTGGGGAGGGAGGACCGAGAAGAACGCCAAAGGGGGCCGTGTGGGCCGGGCTCCGCCAGGGCCCTGCTGCCCGCGAGAATCCTGCAGGCAGAGCCGCTGGGCTGATGCAGGTGTGGACACCCAGAGCCCAGCACTATTCTTCCAGAACCGTGACCATGGGGAAATACCTGACCACGATTCCTGCAGCCTCTGGGACTGGCTGACCAAATCCCTCCCCAAATCTGTCAACTCTAGACGGTGAAAAGGGACTGTGCGGCCCCACCCAGGTCTCCTAGGGGAATGGACACGTAAGATTTATTTTTTAAAAAAAAACCTGTTTACTAAGAACAGACATTTTCCCCTTACAGCCTCTATCCCTGGGCTGTGACCCATGCCCAGCCGCGCCTCTCCACTCAGCACAGACTGAGGGGCCCCCTGTCCCCCCACAGCAGCTAGAGAACAGAGTCCAGGGCCCGGATCTGAGCAAGCACCTGGACACTGCAGAGCCATGTCAGTCCAGGCCAATCCAATTCACAGTCCACGCCAGCCCACCCCCCACACCCAGCTTGGCCCCGAGTGGATCCGTGGCTGATGAGCCTCGGCTCCCAAAGGAACAGAAGACAGGTAGAGAGCGCAGAGCAGACTCCCGGGCCGGGGCAGGGTGCAGGGCGCAGGCAGCGGATAGCACCCCACACCCTAACGGGGCTTAGGGATGGGCAAACGCCATGGCACCTGGCACCATCTCTGCCTGGAGGCTCAGGGTGTCCAGGGGCTTGTCACCGTGGCTGACCACATGGGGTCACGTTCCTCTGCTGGAGGTATGCCCTCTCCCCCAGAGATCCACACCATGCCCTGGACCACCTGGTCAGGGCGTCAGGCTGCCCTCAAGCCCCTGACCCTGACCCATGGGCTCTCAGTGGAAATTTCCTCAAACTCTTGAGAGACTGAAATCAGCCACGGATGCCCGTGTGACAGGAAACATCTCTGGGCTGAGCCCTCCCTGCTCAACTTCACCCCTCAGGTGCCCTCGGGAAGGACAGAGCAAAGGTGTGCTTGGCCTGGACCGCGTCCACCAGGAATAACGCACAGGCCACGAGACGACTGTCCACCGGGAATTACGCACAGGCCACGAGCTGTCGATCACCAGCACATCTCAGCAGAGACGGGTTTTGGGGGCTGGTACCCAAGCAGCACTCAGGTGCTCGGGGGGCCCCTCCCTCCCCGCAGCCGTCACCCGACTGACCCAGACGGCTCCATGTTCGGGCCCGATGATGGGGTACTGAGGGCCACCAGCTGTCCCCCCTGCTCACAGCATCGTGCACTGCTGGGGATCAGACTCGGGTCCTGTGCAGGTCGGACACGCCCTCCGGCCCCTTGAGCTTGGCCCCCGCCCCCACAACGCACATTAGGGACATTCCACCCTACTGTCCGCCATCAGCCCCACTGGGCTGGAGGACGCGCCCGCACGGTGGAGACGGTCCGTGAGGGAGGGGCCGGCACGCGTGAGCTTCCACCACCACCGGTGACGCTGCGGGCCTCTCGCGGGCCTCCCTTCCTCCAGAGGATGCTGCGGTCCCCGGGACCACAGGGACAGATGGTCCTGGCCAGAAGCAAGGGCGGCCTCCCCCGGCTTCTTTGTCTGCAATTTCTGAACACGCACCAGCCGGGCGCATCGCCTGCCCCTGGGGAGCGCGGCCACTCCTAATTGGGCGTTTCCATGGCGCCCGGGGGTCTGGGCTGCTCTGCGTGTCCCTCGCCCGTGGTCAGGCTCCCGATGAGAGGGGCCGGGCAGGAGGGGTTCTGGGGCTCAGTGTGGGCAGGGCAGCGTGGCAAACACCCTCCAACCGCCGCCCCCCCCCCCCAATCCCAGCCGGGACCTGCGTGATGGCAGCGGGGTAGCGGGGTGAGGTCTAGGTGACAACCGTGCCACTCACACCCACGGAGGCCACGCGGCCTCTGATTACCGAGCTGGGCCCCACAGGAAGAGCAGCTTCTCTGGGAGCAAAGCAGGCAGAGAACTCAGGAACTCGGCGAAGAAAAGCTTCCAGAACCTTCCTTGTTCACCACCGCCTTGGGGAATCTCCCAAGCTCCTCCCTCTGACACAATTCAGGGGTGATGACAGATCAGGGGCACTGGGGTGGGTTTGGGGGGTGGGCAGGCTGCTCCGACACGGCCGAACCCGTCGGAAAGAGATGGGCCCGGAGGGTCTCCCCAAACCCCACAGTCCAGCTTTCAGCGTCTCCCCGCTGACGGAATTTCCTTAGTGTCACTCGTGGGCATGGTGGGAAGCCCCAGGGTTCACACACAGCAGACAGGTGTGTGTCTGCGAGCCGGCCCCCGGCCTTGTGCGTGGAAAGGTGCGGAGGGACCCTCTGAAGGAGACACTGTAGGCCACGCACGCCAGTGCCACGTGGGGCCAGTGAGCAGGGCCACGGCGCCCCACCCCACGCGGGCGTGTCCGGGCACGGCAGCTGGCTCGGCGAGGGAGGCGGCGTCCCCGTGAGTGGACTCACCCAGGCCACGCCTCACTGCAGGACGTCCTGATAGAGGTCTGGACCCCCAGACTGGACCCGGCGCCCCCAGTCCAGGCCAGAGAGTGGGAGGGGAGAACTGGAGGGGGGTGGGGGCAGGTCTGCGGTGCCCGCTCGGATGCGGCAGCCCTGGGGTCCTGAGACAGGGGCTCTCAGCACGGCTGCTGCCCCCCCAACCCCCACCGTCCTGGCCGCTTACCTTCGGCTGTGCCCGAGAGGCCGTCGGCTTTGAAGTTGCTGGTGCTTTTCTTCCTCCGGTGCTTTTTTCTGTTGGCGTGGGGGGACGGGGGCGGGTCGAGCTTGGGGCTGGTGGTACTCGACACGCTGGGGCTCGAGCACAGGGATTCTCCCAGCCCCGTGTCTGCCGGGCCAAAAAGGAAGAAGAGGAGATAGTGAGCAGAGAGCGGGAGGCGTCTGCCCCGGTGCCCGACGCAGCCCCTCTGTGGCCCCTGGCGCTGGCCGCACGCCCATGGCGTCACTTGACACAGGCCCTGATGTACACCTGCCTGGCCACCACTGGTGGCGCTCGGGGCTCTCTCCAAACAGGTGGGCCTGCTGTGCTCACTTGGCATCCCCTGTGCAGGGTGGGTGAGAGCCTCCGACCTCGCAGAGTGGGAATTCTTCTCTCCCCCCCCCGCCCCCCGTGACCGCCTGGGCAGATCAGAGATGCTTCCCCGAGTCACGGAGGAGAGAGAAAAGTGCTGTTTTGTGTCTTGATTGGTGTCTCGGCCACACCTGGTGGTGCCCAGGACTCAGGGATCACTCCTGGCAGTGCTCAGGGGAACCCTAGGGGGTGCCGGGGACTGAACTCAGGTGAGTTGCGTGCATGGCAAATGCCCTCCCCGCTGTACTATCGCTCTGCCGCTGAAAAGTGCCGTTTGAACGTCCGCGAGCGACTGCGCCCACAACATCACTCCACAACGGGGCGTGGCAGGGCGGCCCCCACCCCGGTGGAGTCGTCGGAGCCCCTGGCAGGCAACAGGTCAGGCGGCTGAATGTGGATTCACTGACGTGAGATTAAAGGCAGAGACAGCCGCCGTAACTCACGAGGAACAGACTCCATGCATCACGCCGGCTTGTGCTTTTCTAAATCAAGACCAACGGATGCTACGTGAGGCGGTTCACAGAGCAAGAGGCCGGGGGGAAAGGGGGCCCAGCACCCACGGTGCCCTTCTCCCCAGCAACGCTCCATCCCCTATCCTCCCAACCCCAGGCTCCCGTGGCCCTTCCAGCCGCTGGGGGCTTGGATCTGCCTTGAGCAAAGAGTAAGCACTCGTGGGTTGGGTGGGGTGGTCCCCCGGGGATGGTGGCCAGAGGGACCACTCACACGGGAACGAAGGTGGGAGGGGAAGGCTGGGGAGCGCATGTGCGCGCGCGCACACACACACACACACACACACAGTGTTCCAGGGATGTCACTGGGGGCCCGCAGGGGCGGCCAGGATGGGGCTCTCCCTGTGGCAGGATCTGCCATGGACACACACAATATTGGATCAAGCTCCCGGAGGAGAACAACACAGAGTCTCCTGCCCCCGCGCCCGGCTGTCCTCACGGGGGCTCCTTGGAGGGGGGCGGGTTGAGTCTCCCTCCCTGCCCCAGAGCAGAGACCCGGCAGCTGAAGACCTCTGGAACCCAGCCACAGCCATGCTGAGACCACTCTCCACACGCTCAGATGAGCCTCACGCATGAGGGAACCAGCAGAGGAACCCAGGTGTGCGGGGCCCGGGGCTGAGATCTCCACGCCTGCTCGGATCTGGACGGGGCCTCCTCCACCCAGACCCCCCATCTTCCAGTACGTAGGCGTTACACCCACCAACTGCCCCCAGCGCCGTGTGATCCCACCAACGGCCAAGATTCAGCCAGAGACTATAAAACCAAGCTCCCGGAAGCGTGTGGCTACATTTGCAGCCGCGCGACCTCTCATTGCCTAGTTCTCACGCTCAGAGAACCTAGCAGGCTACTGGGAGTTTCCTGCCTGCATATATGCCTGACTGGGAACACCTGTAAAGGCGACTAGAGGCTGCCCCAAAAGCCTCCATCCCTCTCAGAGGGCCCGGCAAGCTACTGAGATATCTCGCCCGCACGGCAGAGCCTGGCAAGCTCCCTGTGGCGTGCTCGATATGCCAAACACAGTAACAATGATGGTCCTCACTCCCCTGACCCTGAAAGAGCCCCCGATATGCCACCGGGCTAAACTAGCACGTGACAGGGACGAACGGAGATGTTATTGGCGCCTGCTTGAGAAAATAGATGAACAACGGGATAACAGTGACAGTGACAGTGGTAATACTGGATCAGGAATCTTACAATTTTGTGAAGTCCTAGAAAATTCTCCCACAGATGGAGAAGGCGCGGCAGAGGGTGGTCCCGAGAACGCCCCTGGCGGGACCTGCCCCCATGTGTGAGGCCAGCGTCCCTTGGCCACCCCGGCAGAGGGGCTTCAGCCCTCCCCTTGGACCCCGTGGGAAGTGGACTGGTCAGTGTTACGAGCACCCTGGAGACCAGTACATGGGCAGCAGCTGGAATTGGGGTCACGGGAAGTTGTTCCTTAACAACGCCCCCCGTTCAACTGGACGCCCTGAGGCCCCCGGCCCCATCAGCACGGCCCAGGGAGGGGGGGCTGTCTGGGTGCCCGAGGGCGGCGTGGGGGAACCGGTGTCAATGCCACAGTGCTGCCCGGGGGAAAGAGCGCCAGCGACCCCCACAAACCTTCCCCCTCCCATGGCCGCACTCCCTCAGAGCCTCTTGCCGCCCTCGAAGCCGCACCCCTGCTCTCCCCACTTTCTGAGTCACACCCCTGCTTCCCCCCCAGCTGCACCCCTGCTCTTCCCTCCCTCTGAGCCTCACCCCTGCTCTCTCCCTCCATCTAAGCCTCACCCCTGCTCTCTCCCTCCCTCCAAGCCTTACCCCTGCTCTCTCCCTCCCTCCAAGCCTTACCCCTGCTCTCTCCCTCCCTCCAAGCCTCACCCCTGCTCTCTCCCTCCATCTAAGCCTCACCCCTGCTCTCTCCCTCCCTCCAACCCTCACCCCTGCTCTCTCCCTCCCTGCAAGCCTCACCCCTGCTCTCTCCCTCCCTCCAAGCCTCACCCCTGCTCTCTCCCTCCATCTAAGCCTCACCCCTGCTCCCTCCCTCCCTCCCTCCAACCCTCACCCCTGCTCTCTCCCTCCCTCCAACCCTCACCCCTGCTCTCTCCCTCTGAGCCGCAGCCAGGACATGGGTTGGGGGCCTGTAGGCCTGGGCCCCACGTAGCTGCCGGGCATTCTGGCCTGAGACCCCCATGTCCCGTCTTCTGGGATTTTGGGGGTCCCTCTCAATCGATTTTCTCTGTGGCGCTGGGAGAGGACCCAGGGCCTCGCACATGGCAGGCAAGTGCGGTGCCACCAAGTCCCGTCCAGGAGGGCTGAGCCGTGCGCGAGCCGCCGTCACCAGGCCCAGCTCCCCTGGCCCGACTAGGCACCCCGCAAAGCAAGGAGGGCCCTCGGCTCAGCTCCACGCAGCCCCGGGACACAGCCTGTGTCTCCCCACGGCGCCTGTATTTTGGATCAATTACGGGTGCCGGGCCGGGCGAGGCCAGCGGGGCCAGCACTGCAGATGGGAGGGGAGCCGTAAGAGGATGGAGGGCCTGGAACACTCTGGCACATTCTGGAACATTCCAGTACCCTCTGCGCCTCCTTTCCTGTGGCTGGGACGCGGGGTCCCTGGCCTCCGGTGTCAGCCATCAGTTCTTCCCAATCGGGCTGCGAAGCTGAACGGCTCCCCACATGCTCCCCCCCCCTCCCCGCAACCCAGGCCCTGTGAGCAATAATGCTCCCTGCCCGTGCTCTCCCGAAGCTCGGCGCGTGAAGTATGAGGCGAGGAGACACCTTCACTTTTCACTCGCAGAGCTGACAAGCATGACTAGAGGGGGAATAAAATAACATTCCGTTCGCATAAATATCCGGCAGCCCGCACGAGACTGATGGGCCAGGGATGTATTCTTAGCTATCACCCCGGCAGACAGGCCCAAGGACACTCATAACTTATTTTACAATCATTTAGTTTCAGCTCAAGTGGAAAACGTGACAACTTATCTCTGCTGACAAGATGCCATATCGAACCTCACAATTAACTCTCCTCCGATTATCTGCCCAGCCGATCATTAGCCGGCCCGTTCTGACGGCCCTGTCTGGGCCGTGGCCGCGAGGGTGCCCGGCGGGTCTGATGGCCATGGGATTCGCCGGGCTGATTCCAGGAGCCCGCGGGCGCCCGCACCCTTGAAGCCGATCACGCAGCTGCGCTCGCCGGGCTCCGCTGACCCCCGGCCCGATGTCCCAGCCCTTCCCCTGTCACCGGAGACTGTGGTCCAGGCAACGGTGGGCCTTTGAGGGGGACTGTCCTCACGACTCTCCCTTTAGGGGCCTTGCCTCAGAGGAGAGGGCCACGGTGACTCGGCCGTCACCGTGCAGGGCCACCCACGCTCTCTGGAGGGGCCGCTGGGAGCCGGCTGGCAGCGCGCTGATGAAAGAGCCGAGAACGCTTTGAAATGCCCGTGAGTGTCAGAAGCGTCCAGATGAGAGAGAGGTAAGAAGGTGCGTGTCCGTGAGTCTGCACTCCTCTGGGCTCCCACACTCCCCAACTGACTCATCGGCGGATGAGGAACAATATTCCACTTAAAAAAGAGAATTTTTTTTTCTCTTTTTGTGCTTGTTCTTTGGACCACACAGGCAGAATTTGAGGGGACTGTGGAGAAGCAGGGATGTGCGCCAGCCCTTGGAGCCTTCTCTGAGCCCCTGAAAGTAAATATAGGCGCAATATATTAAATATATGGGGTTTTTACACCGGTGGGGATGAAAAGAACTAAGGGGGTCCAAGTCAGGGCTCGTCGGTGAGGACCACAGAGCCGGTTTAACTGCAAACGCTCAGGAGCCCGCCTCGCCTCTCTCCTTGGATGGAGCCCACTGGGGCCCAGGGCAGCTCTGTCCTCCCTGCAGCCGGGCACACAGGACAGGTGACCTCTGAGTCCATGCACGGAAACCACAGCAGCTGCTGTCCTCTGACCCAGGCACCCCCGATCTCTGCACCCCTTTCCCAGACTGGGCCAGGCGCCCGGCTCCCACGCGGTGCCTGGCGTGGGGAGGCAGAGACAGCCCGGGCTCCGGAGTAGAGCGCAGTGACGGGGCCATTTCCTCTCTCGCCTGGACAGCAGATGTGAGCTTCAGGGGCGTGAAACAGACCCCCTCGAAACAGGGTTATCAGACTTAAAAAAATGGGGGGTGCTCAGGTTCGGGGGGGGTGGCGGGGCGGAGGGCAGGCTGGGTGTGCGCAGCCGTGGGTCAGACCCTGGCACTGGCCCCCGGCCACTTGAGGACTGCTGGGAGCAG